GCCTCAGAGAGGTGTGTGTGTGTGTGAGAAAGACAGAGAGAGAGAGAGAGAGAGCCTCAGAGAGGTGTGTGTGTGTGTGAGAAAGACAGAGAGAGAGAGAGAGATAGCCTCAGAGACGTGTGTGTGTGTGTGAGAAAGAGAGAGCGAGAGAGAGCTGTACGTGTGTGTGTGTGTGAGAGAGAGAGAGTGCGCGAGAGAGGACGGATGAAAGGATAGACGGCAGCAGTGCATATATTGTATATTTTCGGCAATCAGCAGAGCGTCCCGTTGCGCAATCATGCATGTACGCAAGTCGCGCGATCACTGTGTGAGTGGATGTCTGGATGCGTAGCCTGGAGGCTAGGCGACCGGTTCCAGATGTGTAGCCACTGTGTTATATTATATTATAGTAATTACTAATTAGTACATTAATTAATTATTTTTGCCAATGTATCGGAGTGTTTGCGCAATAAATTTTATTTGAATTTGAATTTGTATTGTAGACATGAAATTCTTCCTAGAGAGATTTTCAAAATGTAATACTATTCTATTTCTACTAATTCTAGCCTTTTATAGACAAATATGGCAAATTTTTGTGCGACAGCCTTTTCTCGGCTTCTGACCATGTGTTATTGAAATTCTAAGAAATGTCTTCACATCTTACTTTATTAACCTCCTGCCCAGTGCCCACATAAATTACCATTGCATGCATTATTAGCCTTTGAAATACCATTTATTACCCTTTATTTTGGAAAAATATGGCAACAAATGTTCAAAACTTTATCAGAAATGAAATGGTGACGCTTGTTGTCTATTGTGCTTTGTTGCTACCAACCAATGAAATCATCGCTAGTCAGTGGCACGTAAAAACAAGATTGCGATTTGTCTACTACTGATAACAAACATTCAAGTTTACAATTTCTGTCATACAAAAATTTGCCACATTGTATACTGACACTGCCTCTGTACGTACATGGTTTTATGAATTTCGACTTTGCTCGTCTACACTTTTGCTGTGTTTACCAGCAAAAGTCAAAATTTGTAAAGTCATGTAGACATGTACACATGGGCAGTTGTATTGTGTTACATCATGCACACAACCTACGCAATAGTATAAAGCTGCACCACTTGTTAGCCTCTGACAAACTTAATTTCTTTGAGAATTCACAGGACTATAAGAACTTAATTAATTACCTTTAATTATCTGACATTTAAATTGAGAAATTAATAAATGTAGACAAATTTAGTCTCATCTGTTAAGGTACATATTACTGATTGCTTCAGCATAAAAATTACCATTTACTGTGTTTGTGCTTTTAGGGGCTATAAAAGGCTCACGGAAGTATTTTGTATTATTTTGATCGGCGTTTGACTAGCTTGTGAATCTTAATATTTTGACATTTCAGGTATTCACTGATCACACAGAATGGGTTTACATTTTGGCGAATTACCAACCAAGGTGCGTGGTATCATCTATTATTCATTATCTCCATATGAACAGAGAGCATATGCCGGAACACTCAAGAAAGGAATACCCAACACATTTCGACGGTTCAGAGGGTCCGTTCTGAAAGTTGTGCCACGTAAGTTTATTATACTTTATTCGTACCTATTTCGCAACTCCCATATTTATTATTATAGTAATATGCATATATGCAATCGTTGCCAGTAGGTTATTTGGTCGTAAGACTAGTTTGAGATGTCCTAAACCTTTACCATGAATCTTCCTCAGAAAATACAAATTCTGTTAAAGTTTGATCTACATCTTTGCAAGTTCATTCCTTATTTGTGAATAGCTTCTACCATAAAAGAAGGCAATAATGCCATAAAATAACAGTGGTATTGATGGTGCATTTGCTATTGTTATTTATATGCTACAAATACTTCTACAAATATACAGAATATAATACAAAAGTTAATATTCTAGCCTGTGCTAGGTAGAGGACCAGATTCTATTTAGTGAAGATTAGCTTTCCCTATTCATCAGCCCTTTCTATTAGAGGTCCCATAATTCCTTGCAAGATGTTCACATAGCAAATATATATATATATCAATACGTTGCTGTTATGTATGTATCTGATACTTCGTCTCACATTGTGTATGCATTGCCACCGGCCATGTCTAAAAAGATGTTCGATATATGAGTGATGGTTCTCCCCAGGCCTTTGATGCATGTTGGGTCTGACGTTCCGTCAAAGCTGAAGCTCATTTGCCACATCCGTAAATCCTCCGACATACCTTGAGTTCTTACTGTTATACTCTGGACAGTCCCAACACAGTCATGCTGCTTGATGTATATTTTGAACTGATCGGGTATCTGTGTATTGGGGCCACTTTAATACTACATGCGTAATTGACTCTAGTTAGAGTTGGAGATGAATTGCCTGATTTCTCAGCATGTTTTATGAAGTTCTTGGTGAGAACCCTGTGTGTGCAAGGTAAAAAGAACTTCCATTATGATTGTACATGGTAACTGCTACATATGCGAATTTTCTTTATATTTTTTCAGCTTTTATCTTGGCTTACCTATACTACGATTGGAATATGCAAGTCAACCGCAAACTGATGAGAAAAGGTGGTGAAGGGGCACACTGATGACTATAAAACAGCCTGTAGCAGGAAATTTGCTCTACGTGTTTATATGTTGTTTTTGGATTGTGCTGTAGAGTAAACCAGTATGTTATTTTTCTTGTGTTAACAGTCGGCGTAAAATTGAAAAAAACTGAATTTGCATTGAATGCCTTTAGACATGGAAGAGCATTCTATGTGGCTGTAGAGAATTCTTAGGTGGAATATTGTAATTATTAATTGTTAATTAAAGCAGTAAAACTCTAATTGTGTGGCTTTGAAACTTTGTTCATCAAAACTTGTGCAATTCCATCTATTGCAAGTATTATATGCACTGAACTCTACATGTGTTTCAAAAGTTTCAAACGACCAAGAGCTTACAAGCCTGGTCTCATTTGTTATTGGTAATGTGACATTCAAGCCGTAATATTCCAAATATGTCTCATAATACAATAACTGACTATACATAAAAGTCACAAACGAGGAAACTGTTAAAAATATGGTACACATGAAAACAAAGTTTTGACAGCAGGCTCACCTTTTCTTCCCAGGTTTCCTGCAGCTTCGGCTCACAACCACCAAGTCCCCCACACTGTCCGGTGAGAACAAGTGAACAGTTTCCAATCCGTTACCCTTCTCCACCAGAATTGTTCCACCGACTTTTGTGCTGCTCAGTGCCATATGCGTGGGCATGGTCCAGCAAGAAGGCAGTTAGTGTTACAGGGCCTTCTTGTACTTATCTTAAGGTGTCTCACCATAAAGCATATATTCCACACCGTGCTCATATGCTGACTACACGCCCTGCGTGGGTTGCGGTACTCCAACCATGTTCTATACCCGGCGCTCTCCTCTCATGTGAATGCCAGTCACAACTAGAAAGGGCAGTTGTCGCCAACTACATGTATCCCCCGTGCTCTCCCCAAGATGTGTAAGTATACCAAGTTTGGTCACGCTAGGTCAATTAGGGGCCAAGCGGAGGGGAAGTATGATCAAGGTCAAGGTCAAATAAAAGCTGCAGTGACCTGGTTTTGGTATGCGACACACATTCTCCCCAAGATGTGTAAGTATAGCAAGCTTGGTAGCGCTAGGTCAATTAGGGCCGAGTTATAGAGCGGAAGGGAAATGTGATCAAGGTCAAATAAAGGCCGTAGTGACCTGGTTTTGGTAGCGCTAGGTCAATTAGGGGCAGAGTTATAGAGCGGAAGAAATATGATCAAGGTCAAGGTAAAGGTCGCAGTGACCTGGTTTTGGTACGCTGCGCACCTTCTCCCCAATATGTGTAAGTATACCGAGTTTGGTAGCGCTAGGTCAATTAAGGGCCGAGTTAGAGAGTGGAAGGGAAATGTGATCAAGGTCAAAGTAAAGGTCAAATAAAGGTCGCAGTGACCTGGTTTTGGTACGCTGCTCACCTCCCCAAGATGTGTAAGTATACCAAGTTTGGTAGCGCTAGGTCAATTAGGGGCAGGTTTGAGAGCGGAAGGGAAATATGATCAAGGTCAAGGTAAAGGTCAAATAAAGGTCGCAGTGACCTTGTTTTGGTACGCTGCTTACCTTCTCCCCAAGATGTGTAAGTATACCAAGTTTGGTAGTGCTAGGTGAATTAGGGGTCGAGTTATAGAGCGGAAGGGAAATTGTCTGCGGCGGCGGCAGCTGGGGAGACACGAAACCATAGTATCCCCGCCGACTCTGTCGCGGGGGATACAATAACACCAATCAGTCGGACACACGCTTTTTTACATCTGTGCCAAGATTTTGAAGTGAAGATGCTAGTGAATATGAGGATAATGAATAATATCCTTCTTGCGATCATCTTTGTGATGTCCCAGCATCGCAGATTCGCAGCTACTGAACCACGTGATTGTTGCGTAGCAAAATTATGGATGTCACGGCAGAAACGCTAATGGAGAAATCGGGAACGAAATCACAGAACGAATTTTTACAGGTGAACATGAATACATGTGTGTATAAGCAGCATATTAGCCAAGAAAGAACGTTATCGTCGGTTTTGTTCATTTTTTATTCTTATTTTATAATGTAGTTTCTACATGTATACTAACTACATGATATTTATCATAATATTAACCACTACCAACATTAAAACTACCTATGATAATATAAAATTATGCAGTTTAGTTTATCCAAAACACATATTACATTGCCAAGTGCACTTTCAAACATTAAGATATGAAATGGCACTTTCCCTACGTTGCTGCAAATGTAAAATAATTATAGCACACGTGCGCAGGCACGCACAAATACTGAAATATCCACATGTAAATAAGAAGTGAAAAATAATCAACTTGGCAACACTGACACAAGTATTCCCAACTTCAGGTATCTATACGAAGCCTATGATCAGAAAAATAAGTATCAAGAACAGAACGGTGGAGTTACATATCAATATAATTACCATTTCTACTACAAATTTCTTGTTTTAATTTCGTTTGCACTGTTGTGAGAGAAGAAAAATTCAAGTTTCATTATACAAGTAGGCCCTACCCCACACCCCATCAACATGCATAATATTCTAGCAGTATTTTGCTGCGATAGATAAAAATAGAGCTTCACACCAACCAGTTAATAAAGTAATACTATACGTAAGAGTAAGACCGTAAAAAATTAATCGTAGTAGGTTACGCTGCCAGCACACGTATAAGGACAGAAACATCAGAGATCTCCCACACCTAAACTAATTCAAGCCGCAAACTGACTAACAGTGTAAAGAAATGAATAAATATTAATTGTTAGTATAATAATAACATTGACTTATTTTACCTAAGGGAATTGTACGGTGCGTTTTTAAAGAGTTAGGAACACCTTGGCGACCACAGAGCATTTGGTTATAACAGACGTAGATAATAGAATTCTACTCTAGAGATCTTGAATTCTATTATCCCCTTCTGATTATATGACACCGTTATGTGTGAACCTGCAATGGCGCATTATCAAGTGAAAATATTAAACCTGCTACTAAATCTACGTCTTCTATGCATAAACTCTTTCTATAAACGAAAATAGGGTTCCATGTGCAGCCGCATTAACAACGGAATAGGCAAGAGCTAATCAACAGCTCACACATACGGCATCATTACACTATTTGTATCATGTGGTGACAATTAACACGCGATAACACGTCCATATACGAGATATATTTCAGAGATAACTGGAAAAATTACTGACTGATCACGGAAATGCATATAGTCTTTGCATTCCCTTTATGAGTTTTCTATTCAGACAGACAGTACAACAGTGTACGCAAACTTCCTCGTATAGACAAACCCAATTGTTGATCCAAATGCATGGACAACTTCATTATATGTAGCAATGACGTTGGTCAGGTCAACTAATGCTTCAAAAATGTTTGAAATTGCTGGCGTGAGCGACTTTCTCCGAAGACAGAGTGTGACAAAACATTTCCAGCTGAGTAATGGTAACGTAGTCTCATAATTCCAAGTTAATATCAGGAGTGAATATTAAAAATATTTGTTTTATCCAGTCCATTTTACATTTATTCATCCCACATTACTTGCAAGGCGTTTAATTTTCATATGCTTTGGAATAGAAATGTCGAGTGTTAAATCCATTACACTGACCTTTTTTTTTAAACAATGGCTATGGGTTCACCTTGCTACAAATACATCATTTTTGATTCACAGTATTGGCAAATCATTTCCAGTTTGCTACTTTAAATTCTCAACAGATACAGAAACATGGACTCTTATGGCAACGAATGATATATAGAAATTACGCCTCATTCTAGCTGTTTCCCTGCCAAAGGTGCATTAATGGAAGGATATTTGTATTCTAACTCAAATAATCAGTGAAAACAACAGTTAACCCTCTCATATCTGAGTCTAGCTTTGTTTAGTTACCTATTCATGATTCGTTAGTTTTAACAAGAATGCATCTAATATTTCATTCATATTCTTGCGAACAGAAACCAATTCGAGTCGACTGATGTTTACAACACGTACGCGATTGCTAACCACTGACAAGCATAGCGACACGTATGCCCGCGCAACCGCTTTGCAAACGACCCCAGTCGGCTTCACATCGATTCAGGATTACTAGTGTGAACTAAAAGTGCGACTTCATAGGCAACACTCAAGGACATGTATCATGACCTCTATCCTGAATTTTTCTCACTTTGGAGCACCACTACGATCTACAACAGGCACATCTCATTATGCCAGTAATTGGGCACCCACAAAGAATGAATTAAATGCATTTCTTATATACTGAGGTCACTTAAACTAAACAAATCAACACACTATTATACTGAGGTAAATGATGTTTATGTGTAAATGCCTTTGTTAACCATGTGCAAGTATCACTACGCAAAAAAACTTAAGCTATTAGTAGTAGGACCATTACTACATTTACATATTAGCACATTAATCCACGTTTTATGCATGAAAGGCAGTATAAGCATCTCCAACACTACAAAAATTCAGGTTGCATATGTCACAATACTATGCATGCACAGTTCAGCGTAGGTAAACACTTTTTCCACCCTGATAATTAATTAGTATGACTACTGTTAATGAGTTCTCGAAGATTTGCAGAGGCTATGACTTACCAATCCTGTCAGTAACATTCATGGTTTAGAGACTTGTTACTACAAACCAGTTGCTAAACTTATATGGCATCACCAAGCTTTCATGGGAACCAAAAATATTACACATATCTTAAAAATCACACTAACTAATATCAATGGTGGGATTTAGAGCCATTTTCAGGCTGTAAAGGTCATGTATATACTATAGAATGACTCACCGAATTTGCCTAAATTGGGGAACGTGGCATGGTGCATAAAATACAAAGATTTGGGTAAATTGCACATACACACCCCTTCATGCTTTTTTTAAACAATTTTGCACAATGCTACACACTAGTTAGCATAGAAACTTTTTAATTATACTTATTATATTTAAACATGACATTTTAAAGCAAGTTATCTGAAAGAATGTGTACTAGGTTGGCAGCAATTGCCATTCTTTTACATATGGTTTTAATCACATTCATGTAAATCTATGACTATTCAGTACAACATCGGGAAGTTAATTTTATTGTAAGTCAGCTTGACATGGCTAAAATCTTTCAGCTTGTCGGCATACAAACATGCTGATTTTTATACTAATCAGCACTAACGATGAAGACTGACCTACGTAGAGGCTAATCATACACCTTCATAAGCGGTCAAGGAAATAAGTCGGAAAACCCAGCTAACCCCGATTTCAAACTATATAATCAATAATAAAATTCATAAAATTTAAGCCAGTACTGCTCAAAAATTACCAGTGCCGATCTGGGGGATAGGCTTCTATATCCAAAACTCATCAATGATCCATAATTTACAATCCAGCTGTCAGAAGATAAAAGAAGCATAAAAATAAGGCTAGTTTGTTGTGCAGTTGGCACATATGTGCATGGCCGGATAAATGACTAAATGATACAATTGCGTGACTATCTCTGTTTTGCAAGCCGAATCATTTTTCCTACCCACAGAATCGAAAGTTGTTGCCAACAAGTTTGCAAAATTAGCATTTTTAAAGGTTTGCATCCTAGCCACTTAATAATGAACAGGTTAAACTTCACTGCTTTGCCATGTTAAAAAACTAATTCAATTGAAATCGATTAAAAGTATACTGAAATAAAATCACAAAGCAATAACAGTAAGATCTTTAAGATTACATACAAAACAGGGATAAATGTGGCCGACTATGTCGCTATGATCATATATATTGTATATATTCTGTAAAGACCACTAAGAAATGCTAAAGCAAACAAACAGATCTCAATCTTTATGCATATCATTTACCAGTGTAACATGTCAGGGAGAGAAGGGTAGTGTTTCACAGCTTTTTATAGTATAACTATAAGTGATACCTCTACATCTGCTATCTGCTAGCTTATTAATATCAGCATCACTTGATACAAACATTATGAATTACCCTGATACATGCACATGGTATAAACTCGGCAGCATGAAACTCCACCAACCTCAAAGACAAAACATTGAGGCACTGATACGCTATTCTCATGACAATTCTAACAAACACCTACCACGCTTCCCGATCTCCCTGCATCTGCTACTCCTATGAGCTTTCCGGATTGGTGACTACAGCTGCCGGTAGCTCCGCCGAATGGCCTCTGGCAGTTTCCCCGCCTTTCTGTCGACCCTCACCGCTGGCTTCATCGCTCGCCTCTTCGGCAATGCTCGAAATGGCTTCTTTTGGCTTCACGTCCACCTTATCATTCGGAGGCTGTTCAAACATGGACGGAAGCTGCACCGGACACTCTGACTTTGGCCTGTCGGCAGGCAGCGTTGGTGCGGGCTGTGGATCTGGCATGGAGGGCGATGTCGGCAGGTTCTTCGGAGGAGAAGTGTCGGAGCGCCGCCTGGCAGCAATTTTCCCACGACTGTCCTTCCGCGGAGGCCTAGAGCTGAAACTGCCAGCACCTGCATCAGACCTGGCCGGGGTGTCATCCTCTTGGCTGGAGTGCCTCTTCTTCTGATCATCTGCTTCCAACTTTTCCAGTATGTACGGCTGTGGCGGTGTGGATAGAAAGAACAATATCATACACTAACGGGTGCTAAGAGAAAATCGACATATTCAAATGTAAAACATATATAGCCATTATAATTGTGATGGCATAATACATTTTAGATAATAACGTTAGTGACTGACGATGGTTATACAACTGCTATAAACCAGGGGCGCATTCTCAGAAACAAAATTAATGTTAACATTAGTCTTGACATTAACTTTTTCTCAAAGACTGTTGACAGAAACACTCACTGTAAAGTTACGAGTATCTCAGTCAATAGAATTCGGTCTACAAGCAATAGTTAATGTTAAGACTCTGGTCTTATTTGATTCTGACAACAAGTTTTGGCGGGTATTCTTCGTTCAAAGTTACAAGGCAACTCACATCCATTCTGAAGTCTTCTAGCCTTTTAAAGTGGGATAACCGTTCTTGTAACCTGCTGTTGATCTTCAGTCGTTTGCTACCCTTGTAATACTTGAGGAATGCCCAGAACTTTTCCAGGCCATACAAGTGACCTGTAATGCAGCAAAATAAGGAATAAGAAGATGCCATAAGTACATTATGAATATTGTATGTTTATAATCTGCTTACTCCATATATTATGACTGCCACACAGTGAATAACATACCGTTGTCAGAATCATGCAGGGTCTCGTCTTCAAAATCTTTAAATAAATCTGCCCTGAACTTGCGCTCAAGACCATAGCTGTAGTATCGAAATAAGCACTCCAGTCCATACCTACAATCATGCATTGTAAAATTTAAAATGATCAATGCCAAGATGTTATTGCACGGCAGTAAATGAATTCTGGCACGTTTTGCCAGTAATGTTGGAAAACTTGTACTGCATGTCAACATCAACGTAAGGTAGGTCAGGTATAAGTATCTGAATGGCATTACGCGTGTTTTGCCATCATTCATAAAAAAAGTAGTATATAAAAATAGTAATCATGGAAAAATGACTGTAGTACAGAGATTTGATCTCTAGGGGGGTTTGTAGGCTGCTGAGCTGGTAAACTTGACAATTACAGGGGTCGAAATAAGCCATAGTCCTATGGTCCGGGGCCATCAAATAATCAGGAGGACCATCAGATTTTCAAAGTCAATGGTCCGACAGATCATTGAATATTTTGGTCCCATTTTACGGTAATTTTATTTGAAGTTTCCACGTTCCAATATACTATTAAAGTGAATAAACAATTACTGTATCGTTTGATACATTCATTGTTACACAGCGAACGTGTTTGGCACTCGCCCACTCGCCAATGTCGAGTGAAAAAAATATCGGTCGAGTAAGAGCTAAAGCTGACTCGCCCATGTTGGCGAGTAAAAATAATTGTCTAAAACTTTAATCAAATGTTGGTTCCTTACGTTATATATCCAAACATTGATGAAAAACAGTTCTAGCGATTGTGAAGTGCGGCTATCCCACGGCATCCTCACTTTATATTATCAAAGGTCGCCGACAGCCAGCGCAGCGTGGCTGTGTATACGTGCCTGGGGCAGCAAATCGATTGATGTACGGGGGAGGGCAGGATTGTTTAAAAGTCGCGTGGGGCATGTTCATTATAGGGAGTGGGCACCGCTGGGATCAGAGGACAACAGCAAAATTCTTTCCTGGAATTGAGGGAAAAGCTGCAATCGGGAATGACACACAATGAGCATGCCAGCACGTAAAAATAAACGTTGTGTGAATTTCATTATTTCCTGCATTCTGTGACCCAAAATGATAATAAGTTCACACTGATATTTGCTGCTAAATACATGTAGTTATTTTTAATAATGTTATAGCAATGTAACACTGAAACAAAACACTTGAAATATTATAAAAATGATTTTTTTTCGATTGTAATAAAAATCGTAGTTGTATGCAAACTGGTCGTAGTAGTCAAAATGCAAACGAAATTCGTATAAAATACGAATAAATCGTAGTGGTTGGCATCTCTGTCTATCTTATATAACTAGAAAGGGCAGTTATCGCCAACTACATGTATCCCCCGTGTTCTCCCCAAGATGTGTAAGTATACGAAGTTTGGTCGCGCTAGGTAAATTAGGGGCCGAGTTATAGAGCAGAAGGGAAATATAATGAAGGTCAGGGTCAAGGTCAATGTCAAATAAAGGTTGCAGTGACCTGATTTCGGTACGTGACACACCTTCTCCCCAATATGTGCAAGTATACCAAGTTTGGTCGTGCTAGGTCAATTCGGGGCAGAGTTATAGAGCGGAAGGGAAATATGATCAAGGTCAAGGTAAAGGTCAAATAAAGGTTTCAGTGACCTGGTTTTGGTATACTGCCCACATTCTCCCCAAGATGTGTAAGTAGACCAAGTTTGGTCACGCTAGGTCAATTAGGGGCCGAGTTATAGAGCGGAAGAGAAATATGATCAAGGTCAAGGTAAAGGTCAAATAAAGGTCGCCGTGACCTGGTTTTGGTACGCTGCCCACCTTCTCCCCAAGCTGTGTAAGTAGACGAAGTTTGGTCACGCTAGGTCAATTAGGGGTCGAGTTATAGAGCGGAAGGGAAAATCTCTGCGGCGGACCGAACGGTGGCGGCGGCGGCTGTACAGACATGAAAGCATAGTATCCCCGATACAATTATATATATCTACCTATCTATCTATCTATTTATATAATATAGATCTCTATATTATACACTCCTGGTAATATCATATGCACTGAACCAAAAAAAGACCTTAATGGCTCATAGATTGCAAGTAAATTTTGTACAGATCTGAAAATAATTAAGCGTCGAGGCCTGTGTTAATTCAGTTGGCAGATAGATTAACTTATTATCCACATTACTTTGTCTTAGCATTGTACTTGCAACTTGGCAGAGACTGAGCAGTTCAACCCTCAGCAATTTGAAGTTTATTATGTTTCTCTTTTTTTAACTAAGTATTTTAGACTTTGGTGTCCCCAAAGATTAAAATACTCAACCCAAACGTGATATTTTTGTGATGAAGATTGTTTAATAATGCTGCCTCAGAATGCAGGAAATTGCATCTAAAGGTGTAATTTCCAAAAAAAAATTCCGCTAATCAGGGACCCCTTCCCGAACCCACCCCCATAGTCAATTTTTCCACTATTGTTTGACAAGCATTTTTGTTTTAAAATTTGGGCGAGTTAACTTATTGACTCACTCGCCCAGTTTGGCAAAAGGTTTCTATTTTAAAGCTCTAACACTGATTGTAGGTGAATAATTAAACCATTTTATCACCATGTACAATCTCTTTCTTAAGCTTGCACACCGCATTACTTTTAGAGAACAATTTGAAATTTAGGAGGACTATCTAAAATTTAGGAGGACATCTAAATTTCAAACTAGATGGTCCTGTGGACCATCTCTTTTTTTCTCTTTATTTCTACCCCTGCAATTATGCCAATATGGAATTAGACCTATGCAATTAGGAACCAGCATACATATTTATAGCATTTGCCTATGAATTAAAAGACACCAGATTGTATAACGACCAATCCTGAAAAACAATTGGAAAATTTATATTAGTCAATTACCAATTCAAAACTTGTAAAATTCAATAAAAGTAAATACCTGTAACCTGCAGCTGCATCTTCATTCGCAGCCTTCTTGAACTCAAGATACATTTTTCGATTGAAGTTGTCACGTATAAAAAATGACCAGAACCTGAAGAGAGTATTCATCTCCTGTGACTGTCCCACGCCCATCTTGATGCGGTCTGAAAACCAACAGAATCATTAGCAGCAGCTTTTGACAGTTGTATACCAACCACTGTAAAGTAACCCTAACGAAGGTACGTACGTCTTCTTCAACGATTGCAAGGCACTGAAGGTACCTAACCCACCAGGACTTTGTATAAAATATTGTTTCACGTACATTGTTTACTACTGGAGAAGTGAAACTGTCTGCGAACCTTTTAGACACTTGTGATGGTATTTGTGATAGACATGCTGAACGAATCCGTTCTCTTTCAGGAGGGCGTGAGAAGGATGCTGGAAGGTGGGCAGTGAGGAGGGAGTGCTTCCTGCACTGCTGGTTCCTGCACCAAAGCTGCTACCCAACATGATAGATCCATCGGCTGTACCGGTACTACTGTAAATGAGAAATGGAAAAAAGACACCTCAGTCAGATCATATCTGCAAATTGGCAACTCATTCATAAATGCAAGTTAAATCATATAACCAAAGCAAAAACGCTGGAAAAATGCATTACATTCTAACTTAAACCGGATTAATTACAAAAGAGAGCGATTGTTTGCCCCAAAAGTCAAGACCTGCGGTATAATATCCATTTTTGCGCATTTTTAAACTCATTGCATGCCGACTATCTGTAACACCCCCTGTTGATTACTCGTGTAGACATTGTGTTCCTTTTGTGGTGTACACATGCCAAATTTTCTTGGGAAATTTTTTTTCGCAGAATTTTCAAGGAGTCACATGGACTGCACATGGAGGGGACCGAGAGTTCACCAGGGGGTATATGAAATTGAGGGTGAACCGTGCCTTTACAAAGAGAACAAGTTAGTGAAAGGAGAGGAAACAACACATGCCTCTGTGAAGTAGTTCGTGAGCGTATCGGCCTATGCTCCTTCACGTCCATGATCCAGCCTACATGGTGCTCCACTGGTGGATTGTGGCCGTGTTTCGTCTTGCGCTTTCTTGGAGTCTGTGAAGATACAAAAACAAAACGCTGCATCAATTCTCCTTATCCACGCCACCTCTTCATAAGCAGAGTAAGTAAAGCATTAGCACAACATTGGTGATCATGTAAGAATGCACCCAACCACACGAGCTATATGTGCAAGACAAACACTTCAACTCTCACTACAACCATATATCAGTCTGTATATAGGAATTTAATGATGAATATACTCAGATACTCATCAAGCTTTACCTTCTCATCTGGTGGCCTGCCATCCTTTACAACAGGGTAGAAGCGAGGTTCTGCCCTTGGCACAGCCTTGTTCCTTCCTCTGGCCCTTAACCCCACTCCCCGTAAGTTATGTTGGTGGTGGGGTATCCTAGGGATTTCTGTTGGCAAGGAATGGCAGACACTTGTCCCTGCCGGACCTACAAAATACATGTATATGTGTAAAGTAATTAAATAAATATACCTATTTGTCAATAACCCATCTGCCACTATGACCAGTAGACAAGGAGGACCACGGGTGGGAAAAATGTTTTTAACGGATAAACAAGTGCCACCAAAGTAACAGAGCCAATCTAACAAGCTCCGTTAAACTGCTCATCATCACTTGTGTGTGAAAGGACTGGAAAACAGTCCATGTCATAGTAGATTCACTGGGAGCTGGGAGGACCATGAGCAAGAGACTAGGTAATGCATGACAAAAAATATAGGGCCACCAAAACTTTGCAAAGCCATGATTGACATTGAGTAAGGAAGGTAGCTTTTTACTTCACACGTACATGCGACACACGCACTGGTTATTCCTATCCGCACACAATGTGCATGCCTACATTTACAGTGCATGTCACACTCACGGTGTGGTGTGGTTGATGTTAAGGGGACTGGGAGAGAGGAAAATGAAAGTAAAACCCTTCTCGCATACTTCACCGAGCTTCCTATAACTTACGACACATAATTGGTGGCATAGAGTAACTAGCAAATAGCAATTAACTTATTAACTAAACCCATGCTGCAAATTGTTATATCCACGTATAAGCCAGTATGTACGAAATCGTTACAGGAATATAGCCGGTATTTACCTGATAGAGAAGCAGGTATGTTAATTGATGGCTGAGGTAAGGGGAAGAAAGGCGGCACCTCTTGTTCCATCATAGACATGCCTTGCTCAGGGTTTAGCTGTCCAAACGCTTCTTGCGTAATAACCCCAACTTTCTTATATTGCTGAGAAAAACAAACAACCAATGATCAGTCTGCTATTGCCGCATCTCGATGTAATTTCTAGCTGTACAACGACCGCTAGTAATCCTGTTAACCGAGGCTTCGTCTACGCCTCATCGCTTTGCGGTCTACGTCGTAGCCACTCACGTTGTGCATCATTCTCATCTCTCGCGTCTTGTGCAGGTCCTCCTCGTAGTAGTAGAGGCCGTCGTTGATGACCATCGCCAGCTCGGAGCTGAGCTTTGCGCGCGGCGTGAAGTCACCGGTGCGGTCGCCGCCCGGGTGCTTCTTGTTGACCGGCGGCGTCTGCGTGACGATGATGATCTTGTTGATCTCACGGTCCGGAAACTCCTCGTCAGAATCCTCCGACCTGCGACGAAACCAGAGAGCACACGCACGTCAGCTGATAGTATTCATTACAAGGCAAGGGGCAAAATTAACTAAAATAATCAACTAGCCAGCAGGGATAGTGAAGAAAATAATCTGCTCGATGCCTTATGATAATCTACCAGCCCTGACTCAATTCCAACATTACCACAATTAATATACAAGTACTGTGCACCAGGCAGCCATTGATATACAACAGCTATCTTCTTGCAAAATAAAATTACTCAATTTGACTCAAGACTACTCAAACATATCAACACGCAGATCGGCACAAATTATCACCAGCCCGACTGACTGGCTAGTGCTGACAATAACCAGTCCTTATGCAGATCCAACAGCCTCAGGCTATCAGGTTTACACGAGGTGTTACTATGTTAGTATCTAATACATATTTGTGAATGTATGTCTGTTTGTTTGTCTGTTCTCAATGCAAATCAATATGGAGCACTCTAGAAATGTCCAAGGACGTTCAGTAGGGGTAACTTTTGATGCTGAATGTCATGGGCACACTGGATTTGACCTCCGAGGTCATTGGAGGTTGCAGGAGAAAAAAAACGAAAAAAACGTTAAATGAATGGGCCCCTGCAGCAGCATTAAATAAACGGGTACCTGCAACAACATTGTCCAAACAAGATTCAGCTTGCACTGACTTGAGAGAGAGGATAGATAGATATATTTTTTGGGGTATTTTTCTTTCAACCAAGTGGTCACCAACTGAGTGCTTTATTTCCCAGGCAACGCCGGGTATCCTGCTAGTATATTATATACATACTATGTATAGTGTCACTATGAGAGCGCTGCACCTGCTATTGCGAATTAATCTATAGGGAATTGTACGCGGGATAACGTTGCCACGTAACGCACCACTCATCGTTAAATTTCGTTCGCTGGCCAATTGCCTGAAGCTCCTCATCAAACTTAAAATTGAGCTCTTCCTGGGAAGTGAACGGCTCCCCTCTTAGCTGGGGCGACTTTTCCTAAAATGAATAAACACAACATGTTTCCATTATCACCAGCTGTAACATATTCCAAACAACTATTTAAAAGATACGTGGCCATAACATACTATGAATATCAACTAAATTAAAACCGCACTATGCGCATCCAAACGCCAATTTCTCCAGTACTAGACTAGCAAATACTTCGTGTCATGCATAATCACACTACCTTATGGCAAAATAATCTCTAGTTCCTCCCATTTCAGTGCGCATTTGCTTAAAACCCACAAGAAAGAGGTGCGAAATCTGGTAATCTGGCGCCAACGCTAAAATTGTTTGCCAAACAATTTCGCCAAGAATCGGTTAGGTGACGTCACATGTTTTTATCTTTGCTACACCCGTACCGCTGTACCGCAGCACCGCTCCACGGTTGCTTGGCAGAGCAATGCGAAAGTGTCAACAACATCGGAGAATTTGAACAACATTGGAGGTATTTTCAAATGCCTTTTATAAGACAACGAACAGTGAAATGGGAGGAACTAGAGTTTATTTTGTCACAAGGTAGTGTGATTATGCATGACACGAAGTATTTGCTAGTCTAGTACTGAAGAAATTAGCATTTGAATGCGCATAGTGCGGCTTTAAAGAAACTTACAAGAAACTGCATAAGATAAATATGCAGGACCCGGTTCCACAGTCGTGGATTAACTCTTAACTCTGAGTTAAATTCCTTAACTCAGAGTTAAGAGTTAAAAGTTAACTCAGAGTTAAATTCCGTTTCACAGTTGTGGATTAACTTTAACTCTGAGTTAAAGTGTGTACCGCGAGTTTTTTTGGCTCAGAAAAACGAAATATAGCAGAATATAGTCTCACCTGACAGTGGAAATATCACTGATTATACCAACATTCAAAACACCAAGATTTTATGCAGTTATAGCATAGAAAAATTGATTTGACCACATCATACCAGCAATACATTTTTCCGAGTAGTGACTCTCAAAAATTACAAATGGCGTCTCAAACAAGCGAACATAATTAAAACAAAAGGGCGTGCAATTCTGTTTAATAAATATTATTGAGTTTTTATGTCAATAATTCAGAGCACTTTCCGTCATTGTCATTCCCCTTGTTACTATCTGACTGGCAATCCACAAGCTTCTCTAATAACAGACTTTACGTGGCATTAGTACTACACTGCTGTTTACGCTAGTATGAGCGGCTGTGTTTACACTCCGACCTGATTTCTACGGTGCGTGGTATGCATTGCTGCACCGTGATAGATGTCTCGCGCTACCACGAGAAAATTCGAGAGATGGCAACGGTAAACAGAAACAGAACACAATATTGTAATCGTGCATGATTTCATTGGATTTGGTGAATACGAAGGTTCTAAGACATTTTATCGTTACTCTAGGCAATTGCTGTTACTCAAGCAATAACGGTAGGTATCATGAAAGTGGGGAAAACACTAGAAAATTCTCGCGGTACACACTTTAAATATGCCTAACTCGGAGTTAAAATTTAACTCTGGTTCGAACCTGGATTAACTCTTAACTCAGGGTTAAAAATCAAGTTACATTCGATCTATGATTCAATTTAGTTATAGATAGTCTTCGGTATAATCCTTTAGACTAGTTTCTACAAGGTTAGTTTAGCTCTAGGGTACTAGTACTAGAGGTAATTAGTTTATCTAGTACTGCCCCGTGTCCGATCCCCCGCTGCCGCTGGAACATAGGTGTTTGTTTAAGTTTGGTGCACATTGGTCGGCCATTGATGGCGTACCAACGCTGATCCAGGCATCATCCGTACTTCTACCATGTTCGTGCGTCAATCATGCGTCTATCGTCTATGCGTCTATCATGCGTCTATCATGCGTCTATCATGCGTCTAGCATGCGTCAATCATGCGTCTATCGTCTATGCGTCTATCATGCGTCTATCGTGTTCATCTGTTCCAACTACGTGGAATTATGGGATACTAACTCTGAGTTAAAACATTTAACTCCGAGTTACTTAACTCAGGATTTTATCCATGTTTATGAAACCCAAATTTAACTCGGAGTTTACTAACTCAGAGTGAGTAAGTTTAACTCAGAGTTAGTCTTAACTCAGGGTTAAAGTTAATCCACGACTGTGGAACCGGGTCCAGGATGTCAGTGCATTTTTTGACAATATAAACATGTTGAGAAACCCCATTATTTATAGAGATAACCCTATTGCATAATATTTTTAATCAGACAAAAACAATGTCAGCAATTATTTTCACCTTGTCTCTTATCTTGCTCCTCTCTTTCTTTGGTCTACGCTTGACCTGGGTCCAATTGAATGGCTCTCGCTCTGGCAAGCTCTGGGACAAACCAGGCACATTTGGCATAGTTACACTACGCAGCTCCAATCTGTCAGAACAAAAAAGCAGCTTTATTAGTTACTGCAGTGACACACACAAAACTGCTAAAAACTTGAACAAAACAAGAGCCGCAGAGCGTCTGGGCTCATCTGAGGTCTGTTGCTACGGTTATAAACGTAACATTTAAGTTGTGCGTAGTGACACGTTTGTTAGGCGCAGATATGCAGATACGCAGTTGCGTACACATCATTTCAGCAACCTTCTGCATTCTGCATACCTCCCAAATCCCATTGGTTGATACAAATCGCGTGCCTGAAACTCCTGTTTATGGTGCATTGTGACCCTAACCCTAACCCTATTAAAAAAAACAAATTTAATTGTAAAAATTATTTGTTGTTATGAAATTGTTGTAAATAAATCATGTCAATATTTGCGTTAATTGGGGAAAAACAGTTAAATGGATAAAGATAAAAAAATACAGAAAACAAAAAATCTGATGGGATTCGATCCAAGGACCTTTGAGCCGTAATCCTGTGCTGTAGCCGTTGGGCTATCAAGGCTTATTGGCTTTCTAGATTATGGATGTGCCATGAATATGAGAACACTGTGACATCATTGAGGCAGTTCAGGAATTCATGTTTAACCCTCCTCTTGAGGGTCAAAAGGTTATCAGACACTTACTCTTCGCACGCCAGTGGAAAGCACATTTCATGGTCCTTTCAATAAAGTGATAAAAATGAGGTAGGTCAGTGCTGAAACAAAAAAGTTTTCCACTCTGTCCGTTAGGCCACGTCCTCAGAAAATGTCTGATATCTGACCTTTCCCCCCTGCCCTTTGACCTGTGACCTCCAATTTCGCACTGGTGATGGGTTTCCTGCCCATCACACTATACACCAAATATTAAGAGCATAGGTCGAGCCGTTCAGATTTGTGCCGCAATTCCGTATTTCCTTCTATACCTTAAGTTAAAATATTCCCCCTCCATTTACACATCTTGACCTTTGACCCTTGACCCCCCAAATTGATTATCCCAAGTCCTTTTCACGACCCCCCCCCCCACGTCCCAAATATCGTGACCGTACGTCGAGCGGTTAAGATTTGTGCCCAACTGTTGACGCACTGACGGACGGACGGACAATCATGCGATTCTACAAGCTGCATCTGACTTCGTCAGATGAGCTAAAAATTGTACAGCACATGATAATTTCCCCCCTGAATTTTACTCACGTTTTCAGCCTGTCGGTATCAGATTTCTCCAGAGATTTGCTATAGTTATTATCATATCCTGGTTCTGAGCCTGTAGGAATAAAAATAAACTTATAATGGTGTCGACTATTAGGTAAATGTATCTAAATTCATAATAAACAAATCAGACATTCTCCATTCATGAATACTAAATTACTTTATCATCTCAAGGCTTATATATTATAGAAAATTATAGTATTAGGTATATATAATCACCCGTGTCTCCTTCAGGTACAGTATACGGTTTTCCTGGCACAAACTCTGGTACATTAGGATGAAGTTCTGTTGTGTGGTGGACTGGTGGACCAGCTATCGGCCACCTGCAGGGATTTTCCTTTGACCTAACTTTAGTTGCATCTGTATTGACTTCAACCTCAGTGCTGTCTTTCAAAGCCTGCAAAGGTATTTTGGACACTAAAAGTTGTCTTTATTCACAGACTCTCCTAACGTTTATTTGATATTAATTTTAAGCAAAGGAGCATTGCCTTCAGCTGAATATTTGAGGTGTATTATATAACCAGGAAATGCAACCTGTTGTGCCAGGGCCATCTATTTCTTACTTAGGGTTCCAATTGGTTTCTTCACTGAAATGATTAGCTATGAGGTCGGACATGAAACTATTTGACCCATCACATATGACCCCTTAATACTGACATCTATGAGACAGTATCTGGCTTTATAGCGATATAACTCTAATATATTCAAGATTTCTCATCAGGTGTAATGGGCAGCTATGGTAAAGGCTGATAATTTACTGCATGATGAAAACACATATTTTATATAGCCGCACATTGATGTAGATTGCCTTATATTACCATATTACCATATTACCATTAAATTACCAATGGCACATTAGACGCCAAGTACCAAAGAATATTGCACATTAATTATAATAATTATATGCAATATTAATATATTGTATATAGGTTTATATATCAGGAGTAGATAATAGGGAGGAGTGTGACATCAATAAACAAGGGAAATTCGTCATTTACTAGCCTTATGTATAATACCTACGATTTACTACACGTAACTCATCCAACTTGAGCTCAAATCGGACACAGTACATTCGCCCATCATCGTACGAAATCGTTTCCTCGTAGACACCCGCAATCCGTAGATACAGCCTAAAACGTACGACACGATTCTCCATTCTCTGGCCATCAATCCAACCCATTGCGCGCCTATAATTCAAACAAAAGGCAGCTACCTAACGCGCTATTGCTAACTGAGCGAGGCATGTGGCTCGCTGGGAGATTAGGCATCAACACTCGGCGAGATAACCTTTGACCCGGTACACAGCTACACAGGCCACCTTTGTACATAGCTGGCATGCCTTCACGCACGCACGCCAACCAAATGATTAGCTCGTCGAGTGTTGCGTCGATCTCCAATCTCCCTGCGAGCCACAACGCCACATTCAGCTATCCGAGAGAGCAAACGTACAGCGACTGCGCGCCAGGTTGCTGCCTTTTGTCTGAATTATAGGCGCGCAATGGGCGTTGGATTAATGGCCAGAGAATGGAGAATCGTGTCGTACGTTTTAGGCTGTATCTACGGATTGCGGGTGTCTACGAGGAAACGATTTCGTACGATGATGGGCGAATGTACTGTGTCCGATTTAAGCTCAAGTTGGATGAGTTACGCGTAGTAAATCGTAGGTATTATAAGGCTAGTAAATGACGAATTTCCCTTGTTTATTGATGTCACACTCCTCCCTATTATCTACTCCTGTTATATATATATTTCATGTGGACAATTGGGTCAACTTCCAGTGAGCCATCCTTACCTCAATAATAAATTTCACATCTTGTGTCAGAGCCTGCACCCTATGAAAACTACCAATAAGGGATACAGGCAGGTATCCCTCAGAGTCCATTTTCCTCCGGAGAAAGAAGTCTTTCATCAAGTTTTCATCACTGAAGTAATACTCGCTGAAACACAAACCATGATATGCAATCAAAAAACAGTGGAGCACACACTACATAGGTGTGACTTTGGAATCTGGTTCTAACACACTCTGGTAGCTATTAATTTAATTCATTAATTTAATTTTCTTCAGTATGCACATGTGAAGCATATTGGTTTTGTATCAGTTTCAACCATCAGGTCATGATACCTTATTAGACCTCATCGACTAATTTGGTGCGGAAAACAAGATTAACCAATATATTCAGTACTTAAATGGTGGAAAGTGGAACATATTGTGATTATCTTTAGTCACCACCTACTGTAAAAATGTGTTTAGAGACCCAGGGCAAGCCTTACAACCTCACCCATGCAAACGCGAGTAGCTTTGCTGTGCAATGTCTGTTATGGAAACCAAAGTAACACAGTTATGGATGACCCATGCTCCCCGAATAGCGCCAAAAAACAAGCATAACAGCATTGCATTGGGGTAGTTTTAATGTTTCTGATGCTTTTGGAGTTCTGGTTATGTGCATCATTAAATGAACCTAAATTCCGTATTAAATGGTCTTTGCTGTGATTGAAAGAACTCACATTTGTTTTCGCACGTACTCCCTTAATGTTCCCTCACCAACTGACGGAAACTGACTAGGGAAGTAGTATGCTCCATGGAATGGAACTCCGGCAGCAATAAAGGGGGCACCAGATGCAAACTGCTCTTGATTCTGCAGGTTATCTTGGGATCCTTTAATAGAAAACGTAATCAAATTAGTAAATATTCTATGAACAAGACCTAGAAGATATACGAAACTACTGTCAACACACAACCTAAAGATGATGCTATTTCTTGATGTACCCAACTTTATCGGGCCTAGAAAAACAATCCTCACACACGTTATGTGTTGACACCTGAACTGGAACAATTTTATATTTCCCGACCATAAACCAATACAGTGGTGACCAGTGTACCATCAAAATATATGAGTGAAATTACAAATTTGTCAGTACCTATTGCAAGTATTGGCACACGGCTGCGAGATTTTTCCGACTGACAGATTTATATCCTTACACAAACATAACAACGAACATCTATTAATGCAAGTGATTAATGAGTTATAGATTTTGGCTATTTAATTCCAAGTGATAATTCAAGAATTTGCAGTATTACTAATAGTTTTTACTGAATACCACTTTACTCATCCACCAATACTACTGCCATTCAACCTACCATGCATCCTGTGGTCAGCTCTTCCCCTGCCAGCTCCCCTGCCTCGACCCCTACCACGCATTCTGCCTCTCCATCGTGTCTCCATGCCGGTGCTGCTTCGCCTGTCCGTCAAGCTCGAACTTTCACCTCCTGCACAGATTTCCAAGAAAACACGCGTGACTGTGTGGACAAACGATGGCGGAACATAGATAGATAGCGAGATAAGACATTTACTACATAACAAGGTTTTAATTGCAATTACAATTTTATATCATTAATTATTAATTGATTTGTAAACACAATACTATCAGGCAATATAAAACCAAAGTTGATGATAGCTGCAATCACAGTTAACAGTTGAAGTGAAACAAACTATAAAGAATCGTGTATTTAGATGATAAATTTTCAACTTAATGATTTCGCTTTGCTTTGATGATCTATTCATGAATCTTGCACAGAAAGGAGCACCACAACACACTGTTATCGTAGAGGACAAACTTTCCTTTATTGACACATTTCTTTAATTTTTGACAGAGAACTATTTTTATGTCACTTACCATGAATGGTTTTGCTTGGAAAAGCAAGATCAACTTGTTTGGCACAAAATAATGAATATCAAGCCAAAATTCCAGTTGTGCAAAACCCATCGTTTAACACTAGATAATTCACAACAGCACAATGTTCACGTTTGTACCCATATCATGTCACCTAGTAAATCCTGTTAAAAATTAATGTTAGGAGTTTGAGGTAAGCAGTTATGCATCTTCAGGGTTAGATACTAACCATTTTAGTTCATTAGTCCACAGGACTAATAAAATAACAAATGTACTAGTCCTTCCAAGATTCTACTAGTCCTGCCGAGGGACTCTCACTAGGCGCAGAGCGCCGAGGATTGTGATTTGCCAGGAGGTAGGTGCACCCATGGGGTAGGAGGGTGGAGAGTACAGGGGGTCTCCCCCAGAAAGGTTTTGTAAAAGACATTCAATTGTATAAAATATACGTAACTTTGATATAGATCATAAGATTAAAATTTAAATTAAATTAAATTAAAATTCGAAAATAAAATTTCAGCCTCCTTTGATGAGGAATCTGTGGATCCGTCACTTATCACAGCAAGGAATTTGGCCTCATTTATAGCTCCAAACTGTTCCCGGCGCCTTGTATCGGCTATCGCCGTAATGAACCTCTGGCAGGCCTTGTCGGTGAGGTAAGTGCTGCTGACATTTAACCCCTTCGCCTTGTCAAGCTGGCACAGCTTGACGTAATCGGTGTAGGGCCTGCCGTTTTTTCCAATAGCATGTGCATTTCTAATTAGGATATTCAGTTTTGCTATTGTGGCCTTGTTCATTAAAGTTAGTGTTTTTGCCCCCACTGTTTCGTGAACAGGCATGGTCCTTGCATTTCATTTTGCCATGATCTTTCTGTGCCCCTCGGAAGCACCATGCGCTTTAACAGTTTCCAACCGATAGTTTGTAGTGCCGGTGAAAAAACTACCAGACATACAGCCTGCACCACAAGTCATACCCTTGCCCTTGGCCGGGTCATACTCTAGCCATGGGTGTGACGATTTCCACTGGCTGGAACGTACGCATCCTTTTGGTCTTATCATAGACACGCTGGCCATCTAATTTCTCCTCCTCCGACTTACGTTTGGGAGGTGGAGGACGAGCTCCGTCCAAATACTTTAACATAACAACCTTGATGTTAGTATTGGATCAGGATGTCCCTACTACTACAGGGTTTCTTATACATAAGAGGCACAGTGGCGCACCGCCGTTGTCAAATTTAACATCGTCGTTGTGAAAATGTTCCTGTATTTACTGATAAGTATATCGTGTATCTATATACCTATAAGTATATCAATACATATTGTATTTGAATCCATCATGCGAATTTTTTCCCCAAACTGGCCATTACCTCCTTTGTCTAATTTTCCCTCAGAATAAACCCTGTACTATGCCTCACTACTTGTATCACTACTATAGATAACTATTTGTATCGACAGCTTCAAGTAAAACACGCATGCGATGTGGTTGCGATGTAAATACCTCGCTATGAGAGTGTATAAACTGATTAGTTGTGTCATTTATACAATCAGACCGTTTGTTCTATGTCGACAGCTACAGTACTGTCAAGGGATCGATCGGTAGACTGGTTCGTGGCCCCATTGTTTTTAACAATGTTTGTACTGTCATTTAATTACAATTAATGTCTAGCGTGCTTAATGCTTAGAGCGTGCAGAGCATGCTAGTGTCTACTTGTACTAGCGCGTCTATTAAACAGGGAAAACTTGTTGATGGCAATAAGTTATATAGCTCTTTGGATCTTGGTTGAGAGAAGCTGCCGCCGGGGACTATAGTAAAATCGATGGGCGGATGGGAAATTGGAACGGTAAGGGATGGGGGAAATACCTAGTCCACAGGACTAACGGCTTGTGGCATTTACTAGTCCTTATTATTTTTTACTAGTCTCGGACTAACGGACTAGCGTTAGTGTCAAACCCTGATCTTCACCACTTAAGTTCCTAATTTTATCATATACTCTGCCCTTGCCTCTGTCATTGCTGACACTTGATCCTCCCCGCCTGTTCAATGGTGGCTTGCCATGGCGATCGCCTTTAGCTGGATGTATGTTCAATGGCACCCACTTCTGTTTCTTATTGTTATCTGCCAGGAATAAAAACCTCTATATAGTTGCCAAGCTTTTTACTGTAGCAATTCATGAATGAACATTAAACAACTGCAGTGTTTCCCCTGCATTGACACGAGCGAGGCGGCCGCCTCGCTCAAATTCTCAGCCGCCACGCAGAAATTTATCCAAAAACACCGCCTCGCTGATGAAAATCACTGTTCTTCCATCAATAAACTACACTTTATTGAACTAATATTGAAATAAAGCTCCACACGTAAAACACAACACCGCTACTCACAATACTGTCAACACGCACACACAATACACGCTAGTCACAACACAGGCTAACTATACCAACACGTCTACTCGACTCTGCGGCTACGCGAAAACGCGACTCTCCCAGCAAAAACAACTTTCAATTTGTATCACTACCCGGAATCAGCTGGTCACGTGAGCATGATTCATAACCCGGTCAGCATGCATAGCGTGCATACAATGTGGAACACCGTGTCAGCAGAAACTGCACCATAAGATATATATATTTGAATTTTGCCGGAGCAGGTGAACGGTGCCGTTGCCATGCCGTGCCGTGTGTGTGGAGACGAGCCTCTACTATTTAATTCAAAGTTCAATTCAAAGGGAAACAAGAGCCGCAGAGCGTCTGGGCTCATCTGAGGTCTGTTGTTACGATTATAAACGTAAAATTTCAGTCGTGC